TCCCAATGGGTCCCAATTTATTCCTAACTGACTTCAGATAAACTATCCGTTATTATATCTTCGAGTTTTGATGGTACAAAATAAAAAAGAACATAATATTTAAGGTTTCTTTTTGATCTACCATGTATAATATTTTCTTTTCTTCCTCTACAATGTGTGAAAACTATACTAATTACCCTACTTTAATTACCATTTAGTTTTTTGAAGCTTAACAATTATAGCAATGTAAAATGGCATTATAAAAAATCACCCTGTACCTTTTCGTTTTTAACCACCTGTTATTTTTTATTAAATATTTTTTTAGTTGTAGTCCTGTACTAAGGGACAACTGTATTTTAAATATTATATTTAATTTCATGTTTTTCTACCAGGGCCCATTAGAGAACATATTTTTACTAGGGATTAATTCAATACCCTGTATTAACACAATACCAAGACGTAGAGTTAAAAAATTAAATATTTATGGGGGTATTTATAAATGAGTTTAAGATAAAGAAATCATTTTTTGTTTATTTGTTCTTCAAGAACAATAGGTACTATTTTTTGTCCTTTTCCTATCTGATGATGCAACACTGACAGTGTGTCGCACTCAGTGTTTAACGAAGATTTTTACCGTGCGACGTGCTTGGTAGTTTTGTGGTAGTTTGCACTATGGAGTGGTCGGAAGAAGCAATGCTCCGCTTAATAGAGAACATATAGATCCCCAAAAATTTATGGGACCCCAAAGACGAAATTATTATAAAAAAGACAAAAAATGATTCGTGGAACACATATATGCACATTGCTGCATATATTGCATATATCCATATAAACATTTGTTTCTACATCTTTCCACTTATTTTCTGCAGAATATGCCGCCGACGTTTCCCGAATACAATTCGGACCACCCTATAAATTCTTAATTACCTATCTTGAATTGAAATAGGCTGCTGAAAATGAGTTTCACTTTTTGAGATAGTTGGTCCGATTTTGTTTAATAAATATTCAAAATCTGTAGGGGACATTCTTGTAAAATTTTTGTACTGCCCGCTGACATGCTGAAACTTTAAATCTGCTAAAAGTTCTGATCCAGATCGTTTTTTAAATAAAGCAGTGCGCCACCATCGTCGATTTTTTCGTTTTTTATTCACTACACTCAGTACTACTTGTTCTTCGTCGTCAGACATATTTTTCACATATCAAAATCTCACCGCAGACAGAGTGACTCGACGGAGATTACCGTAAGCCCCTCCCACTACATGTGCTAATTAGTCCGGCAGCCGCTGGCGTAAACCCAAAATTTTGGGATGAAGTTTTTTTGAAAACGGATTTATCATCTATAGGTGTCCTACTTTTGATATCCGAGTGATGACAAAGTGGCATCTTTGGGGAAATTAAGATACAGGGTGATTATTATATTATCAATTATGTGAAATCGAGTGTTATTCGAGTTATCGAGTTATTTTGTGTGTTTTTAACGTGTGTTTTACATTGATTTATTTAATAATGTAGGTTTTTTCATAGGTATAAGTGCTAACAAAACATCTTATATACAGGGTAATTAAAAAAAACATAATATATTTTCACGTTAATTGAAGGTAAATCGAAAAATTACATTTTTGCATTTTGTATACTTTATTTTGAAATGGAAACACAAAATCATCGGTAATTTTTTTGGTAAAATTATTAATACCAATAATGATTGTTGAATTGAATTTAAGATACGAAGTTCTAAAAACAAGAAAAATATTAATCGGAAAAATGTAGGTATAAGTTTTTTTAAATCACCCTGTATATTGCAAATAATAATGATTATTATTTTTATGCTATAAAAGTAAGCCTATATTTAGTATAAATACAATAAATTGACCAAGCCACACAAAAATTAAGGCCTAAAGCTTAAAAACCTATCGAATACATTTTTATGTTTTATATTTTGGGACACCCTGTATATCTGGATTTTCCCAAGGGTGACAGCTTGTCATCAGCCGGATATGGAAAATAGTCATATAGATCTATAATAATCCGTCATAAAAAAAACTTAATCCCACAATTGGCACTTCAGGGAAAAATCCGGGTTCTGCTGCCGGACTAAATTTCTTTGCTGGTTCGCTAAAAGCTCCACTGAAAATGGATAGCCGCGAGACAACGCCGTTCGACTGGGCAGGGACTCTGTTCGAGGCTAAATCGCTCGGCTCGAGGCTATAATATGACGAATTTCGCTGGAGGTTGACTCGTCTCGTCCTCGTCTCGGCATATTAGTACGCCTTTTGGAAAGAATTTGCTATAGCCTCGTTTCATACTCGTTTCGGGTTTGTCTCGTACTTGCCTCGGCATATTTATACGCGGCTTTAAATACAGGGTGATTCTATTTCAAATAGCTGGAAAAAATTATATCTACAGTTCATACCAAATAAACTTTTAGTCACGTGATTAAGCTTGACCTACACAGCGTTGCCCACTTTTATTTATTTTCTTTTAATGAAAATATTTTAGGAAACAAAAATAAATTAAGTTTAACAGTTATTATTTACATAAAAAACACCTTCTTAACAGCACTTAAGGGACATAAAGGGCGGCTAAAAAAATGACCACCGCTTTCCCGTCCAAATATTCTAATAAAGTCGCGATGTGTTTTTTACAGTTATTAAGCTATCTTGTACACTTAAGAAGTTTCTGAGGGCTTATGATCAAGAAAAATCACAGATCTTCCTGGGTTTAAGTTGGGTTTAAGTAAGAACAATCCTCGGATTGTCACGGGGTTTTTAACAGGACACTGTCTCCTCAATGAACACCTCAGTAGATTGAAACTAAGAAGAAACGGCGAATGCAGATTCTGTGGGGAAGATGGGGAAACACCGGTGATGCACTCATCACTGAGTGCGCCGGACGACAACCATTCGTGCCATGAATTTTTGAATGCGACTGATGTGGAGATGGAGAACTACCCTCTAAAAACCGTCCAGATACTGGCTTTTGTCAAAGCCCTTGGACTGTATGATGAGTTATGACTCAAGAAAGGGGGACACAATGGATCTGTCAGGTCGCAGTGATTAACCCCCCTCCCACTCATTCTAAATTCTAAATTCATTCTAAATCTTGTACACTTCGCACTAAAAGAGGTTCTAAAAAGAACGATGTTCGATTGCAAGGTCTGCTAGGAAACATTTTCAAGCTTAAAGTATGTAACTATTTATTTAAACCAAAAACTCGTAATACAAAACTGAAGTGTCAAAACGAATGACAATGTCAGGAAATAAATAAATAAATGCAGCAACTTGACATTTTTTACAGCAGAGCTACCACCTGAATCTCCAGCGCGAAATTTAAATTCCAATTAGTCGGCACGGCGCCGAATATGTCCATGGGTGGCAACAATGAATTTAAAAATCGCGCCCTCAATTACGTAACTAAACGTTTAATTGATATGAAATATAGTTTTGACTTCCCCTGAATATAGCAAGAGTTAGGTAGTTATATATTAATTTATATATATTATTACTTGAAACTACTACCTTGATAATTTTAAGTTATGCACAATCTGAAACAGGAAAAGTGATATGGAACTTTTTTGGAATATTGGGCCCCAAAAATGACTAAATAAACTCTTAGAAACCGAAATTATTTTTACCTGGAATATAAATGGCCGGCGTCGACTTACTCAAAACTTTTAGTATGCCAAGCTTATGCCATGGATCTACAGAACCATGAACAAACACAACATTTGACACCTATAAAACACATACAATTTTAAAAGGATTCTTATTCACACTAACTATCCATTATACCTCAATATTCAAAGCTCCGTAATTTATATTTGTGGCCTTAATAGCCCTACTTAAATAATCTCCATCAAACTGGGAACCGAAAATGTCAGAACATTGTTGAACAAAGAACTTTAATGGAAATTTATCGCCGAAGATCTGAGGTTTTTTATCAGATGTTTGGAAGAATCCAAACTCGTTACAAGTTTGGAAAGTCCACTGCCTTCCTGAAAAAGAAGGAAAATTAAGATCTTATACAGGGTAACCCAGGCTTCCTAAAAAACTTCACAGTATGTCCCTGAATTGTCTTTACAAGAGGAAAAACTTTTTTATTACTGATATATTAAGAACAATGCATTCTTCATTAAAAGCTTAGCTTCTTTTAAAATGGTTAATTCCGTTTATATTTTTCCAAATTTCCATACCGTTTTAGAGAAAATAAAAAAAAACACATGAAATTATGGCAAAATAAAAACACTAAA